TTTCATATTTAGCAATGGTGGTGGTTTAGCAAATGAGATATTTTTTTTCTGCTTTTTCCTCTTTGGTGAAAAGTTTGTTTAATTACTGAAATACCAGATAATGGGAAGCACTAGGATGAATTAAGTATCACCTTGTGATAGAAGGAACATGACTCAAATGAAAATCATGATGTACAAAAATAAAAAGCAACCAAACAAACAAAAAACACACAAAAACAAATTGTCACTTGGACATCGGAAAATTTATCTTTACTGATCTGACAGTGCCACAGTGTTTCCAGTTAAGAAATAGCTGCATGGAAGCTAATGGAGCTTCTTTTCTCCTCTAGCTTGTTGCAAGGCATAAGAAGTGATGAAGCATGCTAACAATAGCAGAATTTGACACATATGTTCATATTTAACAGGGACTGTTTGATTAACAGTTCTTTCATAAACCTTTTACAATCACTTCATTCAAATGTGTTCTAATAACCAATAGAAAAACAGAGATTAATTCTTCAGGTTCATTTTATTAGCAATGATGAATACAAATCTCTTACGAAAATATTCTTGACATTTCAATATATAAGAATTGTCTATAAAAATATACTACTACATAACAAAGCCAGTAACTTCTACAAAACATACTGTCCAACATATATTTAGCAATATATAGGACATAGTAAAAGTCATTTCATTACTTTAGGGTATTTTTACACCCTTTTTGTCAAACAAAAACTCACAACATAGCAAACTATGCATTCTGATATACAGAAGTGTTATCATCATAGAAGTCTATGTATGTTCCACCTGAAGTTACCTGCGTCTGCAGGAACATAAAGCCACAACGTTTCTTTGGATGGACAGGCAGTTATGACCACAAAAACATTCTGCTGCTAACTGCAATGTCCTGCTGATGTCAGTGTTGCACATCTGTTGTCAACACTGCCAATCCTGAATTCATGCACGGACAGAGGTTGTGGTTCTACTACCCTTGTGGGACTGATGTCACAGATGAGCCTGCTACCATGGTTAGAGAACTGGAAAACAGACTCTTCCTGGTTAAATACTGCTAGTTAGCAAGGAAGTGATTTTTCTAAGAGGCTGCCTCTCCAGAAATAAACTTTCTTCTCACAGACAGCTCTTGAACAAAAGCTCAAGGAAGAGAAAAAACTGGAAGTGTTCATACTAAACGATGATCAAGGGTAGTATTATCCATCTTGTCATTGTCAATTACAGGAACTGACATCGTAGAACAGTTTTTGGAGTTGGAAGAGACCCTAGTTTCAGGCTTCAGAAGAAAAGTGACACACTGAACTAGTTACTTCACCAGCACTGTTATGCTGAGGTTACTTCATGCCTGGTGTTAGACAAACACAGGAAATCCATTTTAATTAGGCAGAGTGCTCTTGTCTACACAATGAGCTTGTCAAATTCTTAGTGTAGATGTATTTAGAGAGCTTTTGGAGCATACTTTGACAACCAGCTTAACCTGAAGAAATTGGCTGCTGCACAGTGACAGTACATAGCTTTTTCACCATTAGCTTTCTATAGAAGAGTTGGGTATGTAAGGCTTTAAGGCTTCAAAGTCCCACTGAGGACACCAGATGAACAGTGTTTTGCATAGTAAAGAACATAAGAAATATGCTTGCTGTTACTAATACATCACTAACTCTTTTTACCCTATGTTTATGCGTAAAACAACCAATAATTAATCATTACTCTTTCTACTCAGGGCGCACTGAAATCAGCACATCAAATTAATACATTGAAACTCAAGAGAAACAACTTTATAGCATAGCAGTTGCAATGCAACAATATTCTATCATATTACTAAGGAAGGACTTCCTATTAGAAAAGTACATTTACAGAACTTAAAAATACTGTAAAGATCACAACAGGATACTACAGGTGACAAACATTAATAATATGTGTCTGATGGAAAGCTAAGAAAAGTAACATTTGACCCTGAGAAACTTGCTGCACTGAAACTTAAAGCTAAAAAAAAAAGAAATCAGAAGTAGAAATCGTCAAGAAAAAAGACACACCAGAATATGAAAGACTCCAGGCTCAACCAGTTTCATTTCAGATACTCTTAAAAACCCACATTTTAGGGTATCCATAATTTTGTATCATTTCATTCTCCTTCATGGCTTCCAACTAAAATTTTGGTTTTCAGTCTACATTTGAGGGTAAGAAAAAAATTAAAAATTGAGGTGGTTGAGAAAATATAAGCTTAAATGTCTTCCATTCCCAACATCACCTAGAAAAGCTAGTTACAGAAGCTAGCTTGTCACACGTTATCACTAGAGAAGCCCTAGTCAAGTCCTTCATTCTCATACAAGTTGAGTAATTCTATAAAACATTGATCAAAATCAAAATAATTAAAAAAAAGAAAAAATAGTGCTCTCCAACACAGGATCTTGTGTAGACTGTTACTCAAATTACTTAAATATTTAGGAAGGTTTAGGAACAGCAACAGCAAACAAGTAAGTGGAGCCATAAAGAAACACTATAGGTTTGGATAAAGTAAAAAATAATAATTGGGGGGGGGGGGGGGGGCACTACAGATATGGAAATATAATGAAAGTTACTGCAAGAACTGGAGAGAAAAATTACCAATCACTGCATCAGGTTGGTGGTTTCAGGTAGGCTTATTTTCTACACTTACGTTACGGGCAAGAAAACGGTCCTTTCTTCAGTTGCCTGTTCTTCTCCACTAACTGTAAACAAGTTTCAGTGAAATCATATGACCTAAACATTTTTTCGATGTAAGCTTCCACATTATTTTTATTCTGTACTGACAAAGCAGCATTCATAAGCTGTAATTTAAACTACTATCTAATTGCCCTTCCTAATGTTTTCACGCTGTCATCAAGTTCAGGCTACTCTGGTTTTGCCTTCTCCAAGTACCTTACTAAGAAGTTACACAGCTGGATCAGCTCCCAGGGCTAGCTCACCACATAACCACATAAGCATGAGCATTGAGCCAACGGGAGGGAGCAGGACTAGCTGACAAACCAAGTTTACATCAGTCTGAACTGCTTTGGAACCACACCTTTGTTAAGTGTCAATTCAAACACATGCTATTAAACATGAAGTGAAGCAGTAAAAAATGCGGTCTATTTTACTTCCCACCCTGAAAGCAGTTGTTCAATGACAGTGATGGCTGAGCAGCAGGAGAAACAATTCCAGTTTATAATTTCAAGTATTAAGTAGTAATTCCAAACTGGAATTTTATTATTACATCAGGCCTTAAAGAGATGTGAAAGCAGTTTCATACTACCCCTGACCTTGCCAGCAGTAGCTGAACTTCAGCCTTCATGAGAAGCAAGGCATGCATACTATAAGCATGATCTGATTCTATCACTCAAGTGAAATCTGCTTGTGTCCATAAACATATATGGATTCAGGGTGTTGGTTACATACAGACATTTACATACAAAATCTTGCACAAAGACAGCTCCTCACTTCCAGGCACATCCCAAAGTACTATGCACATTCCAGTCTTTCAGGACTTAAGTTCCAGGATCTGCCCTGCTAGGAAGCAATGCTTATTGGCAAAAGAAAAGATATGTGACATCAGTAAATCAAAACAAGAAAACATCCACCAGCATTCTCTTTTAGAAAAACACTAGAATGAGTAAATAACTGAAAACCACCTCATGATACACAGGACCAAATAAAGATCCAAGTTAAAATTTTCTCTGTGCACTACTGAGACAGGACCTCAAAGTACGTAAGACTCCATTTGGGAAAATCCCCTTATCTGATACTAAACATACATTCCTCCTCAAACATTAAGGATGCTAACATAAATAACACAAGCCTTTTTTCTTAGTATTTGTAGCTATCAAGATAAAGCCCATAAAAGTGAGAAGATGTGTAAGAGAAGCAACTAAATGCAAATTTAAAAAGATAGGCTGGAAAAATGGGGCTGAAGCTGCCCACTAGCACTGCCTGATGTGGTGTGGATGCCTCCATGCCATTCTCCCATCAAGCTCTCCCCAGACCTGTTCTGTAGAATCTCTGTTATTACCTTGGCCAACCTACATTTTCTGTGAAACTGGAATTACTTTGTGCTCTTGTAAATTCTTAGGAAAAAGGCAAAAGCTTTGTTGTAAATCCTCCTAACTTTACGAAGGCCAAAACTTAAACTTGGTCTCATAAAGAACTTTTGTACAGAAGAATCTAAACAAAAGGGTCACAAGCAGCATTTAAAATAACCTGTATTAAATACCTAAAAAATGTAATCTGTTGCATAGAATAAAGAAAGTGCAGCTACAGCATAACATTCCATACCACAAGAAATGGTGAATTTACAAGTGGTACACAATTAACTGCTGTCTCTCATCACTGAGACTGCAGCAACTAAAGAGCCATGTTAAAAAAAAGGGATTAAGTTATTTCATTATGTCTGTAAAGCAAGTGCAAATATTTAAAATTCTTTTTAGAAGAAAGTAAAGCTGAAGATAATTTTCACAAGTTAATTTTCTCTTTATATAATTTGGAAAGATGAAATAGCTTTTGTTCTTCCAGAATCCAAATTAAAAAGAAATCCCCATTTGGCATCTGTTTTGTGGAAAAAAAAAAATAAAAATAGAAAGCTTATAAATGTGCAAGCTTTATCTGTTCTAGAAAAGTTGGATGTTTATAGGATTATAACTCTTTTTTCACTTCTAAATTTTGTACTACAATCCCTCTGCTAATCAAGCACAGAATAGTATTAAATAAGCCTGGGAGACTGATTTCCACCGCTCAGAAGAACAGAGAAAGGGTCTAAGAAGTGGAGAATCAGGAATTTTAGGGAAACAAAAGCCAAAAACTTATTGCCCAGTTTTGACAGGAGGCAAGCAACTTTCAAATTTTTTTCTACTTCTCGTATTTGCATGCCTAAATATGAGAAAGAAAAGTATATACCTAATCAGCTGTTCACACATATTCAATTTTGTTAAAAAAAAATAAAAATAACAAAAAATATATATTCAACTTATTGCCCATAATTTGGTACTAAAATTTGGTAAAAGAGATATTTAAAATAAATAAAAACAAATATTGTATATATATATTTCAAGATTGTTTGTTTCTGTAATGAATTAGTGTCTGCACTGTCAGATTTCATTTTCTTTAGCTTTCTTCAAGGTTTGTCGCCACTTACGAATCGCGGTTCCAGAACTACTTGCCACTACACAAAGGGCACCACCTACAGTCCACCAAGTTGGCAGATGATTGAGAAAAAGAATTTGCAAAATAAAAGCAAACACCACATCCATTGTTTTCATTATGGCTACAGGTCCAGCTTTCTCTATCTGTAATGCTTTTGTGAGAAATATCTGACCCCCTAACCCTAACAAGCCTATTAATATTAGAAGAACCCTATCTTTACCACAGTGTGGTAAACGCCATTCATTCATAACAAACAATGCTATAACACATCCAATTAAACCAATGACCGCATAATACCAAATTGACAAAAAATAATGCACAGATTTTCCCACCTTCCTTAGTATAACGAAAGTCGAAGCCGCAGACACTGTGCTTGTAATTGCTGCTATAGTTCCTTTAAGGTGTTCTGTATAACTTCCTTCAATCCCTGTAACATTTGACCCAAACAGAAATGGTGGTCTGGCAACAAGAATCACTCCAGTGATGGCAAAGAGGGTAAACAGAAGATCCCAAATACTGTACTTCTCTTTGAGAAAGATCCATGCCAGCAATGATGTAAAAACAGGACTGCTAAAAGTTATAACCGTGGCATCAGCTAGTGGCATGACTTGGTAAGCATAGTAGAGAAGAATCATTGCACTAGAGCCAAGGAATCCTCGGAAGAAAAGAAAAATTCTTTTACCTTTTGGTCCCAAAAACCCTGTTCTGAAAAACAGAAACATCACATTAATATTGCTGGCTTGCTTATTTCATGACCAACATTCAATCACATTTAAACGTACACACCCTTCTAGACTTTACACACCTTTCTAAATGAAGGCCTTATCTCAAATATCAAAATAGTTTTAACTCTCTGACCACAGACCAATTTATTCCCATCACCACTCCCAATCACATTCAGAGTCAAAAACCTGTTCTTCTACCTATTAATTTTTCTGCTTGCAAAATAACCCAAGCGTATCTACAACTTTCCTTCTATTTTTTAAGAACACCATTTCATGGAAGATCAACACACTTGATACAATCCCTGCAGAAAATTCTACAATTCAGGGAGTCAAAGATTTTCAGTTTGTGAATAGTATTCAGAAACTATTAACTAATTAAAAAAAATGCAGCTATGCAACTGAAGTCTGAATTACAATAATCTTGCAATCTGATTTAAGCGAGTGATAATTCTACACCTATTTTTAAGAAATAATTGTAACTACTTACTTGTAGTATATTAAACCAGGAAGAACAAATGCCATTTGAAAAATACATCGAAACGCACTCACTTCCACTGAATGTACATCTTCTATTTTTTTAAGAAATAAAGAGGCCACTGAGAAAAGGAAGGCAGACAGTACAGTATAAAACAGACCAAGTCCTGGACACGCAGCTTTCTTCTTTGCTCCTGCAACAGATAAACTCAAGTTAATAACAATCCACCGGAAGATTACTCAAGTTAATCAGCTCTACATACTGCAGTGCTTTATACATTTGTAGCTATTCTTGGGGAAGCAAGAGAAACAAATGCAAATACTACATGTATTTATGAGACCTGCCTTGAAAATATATTTCACTGACCATCACAGGTCTCCAATTTTTTAATTAAAATAGGAAGTAAGAGATTAACTCTTAACACTTTGGACACAAAACTTCTCACATTTCAACAAGTCAGTGGGCTTTACAACTTGGATACATCAGCCTAGTTTGGGTGATTCACTGTAGAAGTAGTACGATTGACCACCGCAAGGACCAACAAATACAACAGACTACAAAATGGTCCATGGTCAGATTCTGAAACACTGAAACTTACTAACTTGAGAACCATCTGATTATCAATTAAGTTACTCAGGTTTCATAAGCAACTACCTAATTTCCTTTCTCACAAATACACACATAAAACTTGTGTACAGAACCTCACTTCTGTTGTATTTCATATTTATTTTGCAGCTAAATCGCCCTTTGACCTAGACCTACAAAAGTTTTACATAACGTTTTCATTTTGCTGTAAAAATCCAAGTATTTGCTTCAAATAAGTATCATTATTATATCACCATTAAGTATACAGTTTTAAGCAGAAAAAAAATTAAGTGACTTTAATTTTAAAACATCATAGGCCTGCTTAAAGTATTGATAAACTTCCATGAAGACCTTAGTTATCACCTTAGTTTGCACTTATTTAGCAGACTTCCTGAAGTAGTTTCCCAAGTCTAATAGCCTCTATTCAAGCTTCCCCACTGCCTCGGGCTCTCTTCAGGGACATACTCTTCCTTGTTCCACTCATCTTCTCCACCCTCAACTATTCAAACAATAATTTAAAAAACAAAAGAAAAAGGGCTGCTAACGGAGAGGATGAACTGCTGCTGACCTCAGCAGGGTCTCCAAAGAAACCAGCCTATTTTGCCATTGCTTTGCTGCATAGGAACAGTCTTTCCACTGAACCTAAAGGTGAACAGTGAGGAAGAGATCCCATCTAAAAATCTGAGTGGGATGTTACCTCACTCCTTTCTGTCTGCACAAAACATTGGGAGTTACCTTTTCTTTTACAACACCCTCTAAAGCTAAGAGCAAGAACTCCATGTCCCTGAGGCAGTGTTTTGACAAAAGGGTACCTCATCTCACATAGGTGTGGAAGCCTGTGGGCCTTATGGATCCTCTAAAAACCAAATCAGGAGGACACTGCTGTGAGTTGCTTAGCAACTAAATATGGGTTTGAGGGGCTTTTTGTTTCGTTTGGGGTGTGGTTTTTTTTTTTTTAAACTAACAAAACTTGTCACAAACCATTTTGATCATCCTTGAGATCAGCACTCAAGGATGAGAAACTGCACTTAATACACAATAGCTAAGACTGGACCAATACAGTGTGTATAGCATTGGTTCTGGCTTCAACAGTTCTAGAGACCCAGGTTTAACAACCACAACCAAAATTTGAAGCACGCAGAAGGCCTGCTTTTCAAGGAATCCAGCCACACTGCAACTGAAAATGAATGACAGTTTCTACTAGAAATACTTCTATTACAGCCTCTTACATAAAAGTGACTATAAAAGCAATCACCAACCAACACTGGACCAGGACATCTACCAGCTATGAAACAGAGCACGTTTAAAAAATGTTCATGAACTACATAATGTTCTAATCTACACAGTCACACAACAGAACTACAAAATCAACAATGTCTCTAATATTAAAGCAAGAGGAATCAGACTGGTCTATAACTGAAATGGGAAATCCAAACCCAGGCTGGCTTACAGATGAACACAGCACAAACAGAACTATTAACTTTTATTTCAGGCATGATAACTTGTGCAATTACTACAGAACGAAGCCAATCTAAATAACGAGAGTGTTGAAATGGAAAACCAATCAAATTAAAGTAAGCTGAAAAGATCTTATACCCAGAATTAAGGGCGGGATTTAAAGAAACAAAGAAAAAACAGAAGGAACTCATTTTTGTAAGCTAGCCAATGAACCAAACCTATCAGAAACAGTATCTTGTAATTCTAAAATTTAAACCATCAATATCTCATATTGCCAAAGCATGTACTCGGTCCAATGAGAAAGTGTTTTATTTCCTTTTAAAAATACAGTGGTGCAAGGTCTTCTACCAAAAACAAGAACTGCAGTTCTGAAGAGTACTCATTTCAAGATACATTGTGAAGAGGTTAAGATAACATTCCCACCCCACAAAATATTAAGCCTCCAAGCAAAAGCCCCATGCCATCAAAATACGGAAGCACTTATGCTTTTCTAAAAAAGTGTAGCAGTCTGAAAATGACAAAGTTTGAAGTAGCACCAAACTCTCTTTTCTGAGTGGCTGCAGGTTTGAGGTTTTTCACTTTTATTCCCTGACCATCTCCAAATGTAAGGCTTTCCAAGAATCTTTCACTCCTGTTTAAGTACTAGTCAAATGCCTCCCACTGCGCACCATTTTCTGTGTAAATTCTTGTTGCCTGTATTTTAATGCCATGCTTTCTTGAAAACAGCTTTTAAACTTGCAAAATGCAGAGAAGAAAATCACACTTCTCACATACATGCGTCTTGAGTATAGTAGCAGAGGCAGAAGAGTACTGGCTGTGGGGAAGGTGGTCAGCGAGAAGATGATTCTCTCAGACCTTCTGTAAAGCCAGAGGGTTATCCATTCTTCACACTGTAAGAAGCAGGTGAACGGCTCTCCCACAGACTTCGGGAAAGTGCCACGAGCACAACAGCCTGTGCAAGAGCTCACCATGATCATGCAGACAAGATTTAGGAGTGATTCATAAAGTTCTGCCATTGACTCAGTTAACAATTTTGCTAGACAGACTAAAAAAAAAAAAAAAAGTAAGTTTGACGAATAAATACAAGTTTCTCAGGATTACAAACGTGGGGTTTTTTCTCTCAAGATTTGTCTCAGAACTGACGTGAATTTCACTGGTGAAGCATGTTATCTCTTTTGGCCTCTCCACAGCTCACCAGCTAACAAAGACTGCTATTTAATCCATTTTCTGCTGGAAAGTCAATTATAGTCCATATTTAATGAGAAACACATTTTTAGTGAAGTTGTTTAAAAATCACACATGCCAAACTACTTCAGATAACAACTGCAAACACTATTTTAAGATGGCATTTGGGTTTTAGGAGGAAGCTACGTTAAAGTAGCAAAACCCGTGTATTTCGCTGTAAGTTTCTAGCTTTAGCAATTCAAAATAACCAAGAAGTGAAGCACAGATTAAGACAAAATAAAGAGGAACCTCACACTAAAGCAAGGTACGAATTACCAAGGAAGTCAAAGTCGCAAGTACATGGACTTGTTGAACAGCACTCATGCCCCTTCTCAAAGTTCACGCTGCTAGAACGCACCTTGATTTACTCAAACCTTACTTTGAAACTTTGGCAACAAGAAGGTCTGTCGTCCCGAAGGGATAATCGCTACTAAAGCGAAGAGCAGCAGCTCGCCCGTGAGGACTGGGAGTCAGGGAGGCGCGGCCGGAGTGGCCCCGAGCGCTTGTCCCGCTCTCGGAGGGGCACCGGGTCCTGCCCCTAGCCAACCCCGGAGTGCAAGCACAGGGGCTTAGCACCACGGAGGAGCTCGTGCCTGCCGCTAGGACGAGGAGGACGGAGAGAGGCCGCACACGCTCGCAGGGGCCCGGTGTCCCCCGCCGGGCACCAGGTGTGGGCCACCACAGCCAAGTAGCCTCGGCTGCCGCCGGCCTGTCCCCGCCCGAGGGCTGCCGGCGGAGCAGCGGGCTCAGGCGCCGGACGCCCTCTGCGGCCGCCCCAGATCGCCCTGCGCCCTGCTGCCGCGCGCTGTGAGCCCCTGTGCCCTCGGGGCCGCTTCCTCTTCCTCCGCTCCTCTGGCAATGTCACCCCGAGAGCCGGCAGCGATGCCAGGAGGGCGCTGCCCTCCCCCCCGCCCTGCCTGTCAGACTCCCCCTCTTCACCAGGTGCTTTGCAGCAGCACAGCCAGGACAAGCCCGAGCAGCAGCCACAGCCGCGGCGCTCTTCAGCGCCCGCTGCCTCCACGCCGGACGCCGGGCGCCGGGCAGAGGCAAGGCTGCCCCGTACCCGCATCGTCCTCCCGGCTCAGCGGCACCTCCGGCTCCTTCCCGCCCGCTGCCGGAACAGCGGCGGCCTCGCTCCTCTGACACAGCACCATAAGGACGTCGGGCTACCTGCGGTGCTACCGGCACAGCACAAGCCGGCAGGCACCTGGCCTCCTGCGCATGCGGTGCCACCGTCCAGCGCCACCTGGCTCCCTCCCTCCCTGCGCCCGCCCCGCGGATGTACGGCGCTTCGGGGCGGAGGGGGTGGGTATGCCAGGTCGGGGCTTAACCACCCCACAAGGCAGGGCCCCGTCTGGAGAGAGCCAGGCTGCCGGCCGTTCTGCCACGGCAGAGACCTGCCTGGGAGCCCGGAGAGAGCCAAACGCCCTTCCCGGGACAGGAGGCAATGCTCTGCCCTGCTGTCCCCTCAGCCCACGGTGGCCCACTGGGAGAAGTACGGGAGCTGTGTCCGGGCAAGGGGCCTGAGCGGGGAGGAGCGAGGCCGCGGTGCTTCGGGAGGGGGAGCTCTCACCCTGCCGGAGAGCGGAGCGGCGCGGCGCCGGCCCCGCCGGGTGACCGTTAGGCGCGGCCAAAGCCGCGGGGCGTGGGCGCTGGGAGGTGCAGGCCGCGGCTCTGCCGCTGCCGCGCTCCGAGGTGGTGAGCTTGCGGGGAAGTGAAGCTGTGGTAAACGGTGACGCAGTGTTACTTCAGGGGTGCTGTTGCGTCATCTGAGCGCCCCAAATAAAGCGTGTAACTGTTGAGCACGCGGGACTGACACCTCAAATACCGGCTTGTCAGCCCGAGCGCAGGCAGGGTCTGCGCGGGGACAGCCGCCGTCTATTACAGCTGCTCCACATTGCGTGTGTCAGCGTGAAATCCCGCCGGGGCAATATCCGCACCGATTTAAGTAGCTTTCAGCGGGCCGTTAACGTGTAGTTGCCGTGCAATTACACGATTACCTGAGCATCAGCCGTAGTATCACTGGAAGAGCTGCTGCCTGCACCCGCTGCCCTCACAGAGGTCAGAATGGAGATGCGAACCCGGTGGGTGATTTTGTCATTCTGTGTGCGTAGGAAAACCCTCACAGGGTTGGGTAGAGTACAAAAATCATCTAACCACCTTCTGGTAGGTTTTCTCTAAAAAACCGATGCTGCCTCTGTCTTTGGGCAGGGGAATCAGAGAGGGGAGCTGGTTCAAGTATACAGGCTGGCCTCTTACCCATCAAAGACTGCAGAGAAAAAGCAGCAGAATAATTTTCAAAAGCTAAAATTTCCCCCTTTTTTAGCAAGTTGAGCTGTTATCAATAATTAAAACAGGGAGGAATTTCTATTCAAAGAATAGATTTATGCTCACGCTAATATTTCAGCTGCATAAATTAATCAGTGTTTATTTCTTTATTCTTAACAAGGGGAAATGTAATCTGTAGCTTTAGAAAAATGAGTAATAAATGGTAAATGCAAGCCATTTCACACAAACTATTTCAAACTTCCCCTCAGACTACCTCATAAGAGCAATTTCAGGCTCTCTTTGTCTCTGATTTAGCACATTTTATAGTCCATGCTAATCCACCAGAGGCCATAAATATTACATTATCACAGAGCTAGCATTTGATTAATGTGACCAGAATTATTTCTCAATTTATTCTTAAGAATTAGATGTGTTATATCAATTATTAAAAAAGAGAAAATAAGAAGTTTGTGTTGAAATCAGGATTAATTCTTTCTACAGATTTACATTATCCAAACTCCTCTTTCTAGAAACCAACAAAGTATCTGCTGCACTAGACATAAACTCCTTTTATTAAAGCTTCTGTCAGCATAGTCCTCTACAAAGGCCATTTTCAAAGCTCGTCTTTCCTTATGGAGATGACATGGCAGCTTCATGTCCCACAAAGGGGAGAATCAGGCCAGCAACATTTCCCAAAGAGACACCCTTATTACTTCTGCCAGATGCACTTCCCTATCCCTCAGAGTTTGGTTTAATTTGGAGAGGGAGGTGCAAGTGAACCTGGCAGCATGCTGCTTTCCCAAGAAACTTACACTTTTCTGTACACTGGGCCAGTGCTTACAGGTCACTGTTCCATGAGTAACACAAAGGCAGAGCTGCCCTTCCTCACAGGAGTTTTGGTGAAAGACTGGTGGAGATCCTGCTTCTCACCAGGCATCTGGGGTGTCAATCCCATGGGTCTCTAGGGGAAAGACCCAGCATGTCCCTTGGCCAACAACCAAGAAGCAGGCTTGCGGAGTGCATGCACCCACAAAAAGGCCTTTCCTCGTGGTCACTACATGAGTTACCTCTGTAGCCAGCAGCAGCAGAGCGGCTGGCTTACTTGAGCCTTTGGTGAAGAAAAACAGAGCCAAAACATTTAATCCATAGTACAGACGCAGAACAAAGTTTAGTGAGTTCTTATGATTTCTGGCTATTTGTTTATATACTGTGTTAAAATGTGCAGATTATGTGCTTTATAATATTGTCACTATGAAACCCAAAGTAAACTTTTTAAGTGACACAGTGCCAAATACTGTGGTGTAGAGAGTTTCAAAGAGACTCTGCAACAGCTTCTTCCATCCCCCCTCCATGTCTGGCTTTGAAAGGGCAGTGTTTGTTTATGCCAAGATTCATAAAGTGTTCTGTTTGCTCCTGGTCAAACTGCCAGGCTTGCCTCAACTTGAAAGCTTCCAAGTTCTGCTTGCAAAGTGCAACACTCCTCTGAGTAAGGAGGCAGAGCAACTGCAGCTGCCCAAACCAACCAGTAGGCAAAAGTAATTTGCAGTCATGCTGCCCTAGACTGGAAAATTAAGTAGCTTGCATAAATGTGACAGGCCAATGGTTTATGCTGTCCTTTCAAGTACAGATTAAGCCTCATCTGTACAACACAGTGCTCAGAACTAGCTGTTCCTTTCTCCAGCACACTGCCAAAGGCAGAGCAATAAGGACCTCCTGCAGTATCTTGCCTGATTGCAAAGTCCGTGAGAAAAAGGTTTAGTCAACTTGGGCAAACTGACCGTTGAAAGGAGTTAGCTGAATGTCCACACACAAAGAGACTACTCTTTGAGTGTGGTCAATAGCTCGATGTTCAAGTGGAGATCAGTAATGAGCTGTGTTCTTCAGGGGTCAGTACTGAGACCAGCCCTGTCCCTGACATCTTTGTCAGCAACATGGACAATGGGATCAAGTGTACCCTCAGCAAGTTTGTTGACAATACCTTTCCTATGGAGGCTGAGAGAGTTGGGTATGTTCAGCCTGAAAAAGAGAAGGCTCCGGGGATAACTTTAAGCAGCTTCCAGTGACTAAAGAGGACCTACAAAAAAGCTGGAAGGAGATTTACAAAGGCATATAGTGATAGGACAAGGGGGGATGACTTTAAACTGAAAGAAGGGAGATTTAGATTAGATATTAGGAAAAAATTCTTCACTATGAGGATGATGAGACACTGGCACAGGTTGCCGAGAGAAGTTGTGGATGCCCCATCCCCAGAAGTGTTCAAGGCCAGGTTGGATGGGGCTTTGAGCAGCCTGCTCTAGTGGAAGGTGTCCCTGTCCATGCCAGGGATTTTGGAACTACATGAGCTTTAAGGTCCCTCCTAACCCAAACCATTCTATGATTCTAGAATGGCATTTGTCTGGTTTCCATAATATTGTAAGAGCAGAGAGGGAGCCACCTTCTCCTGTGTACTTACTTCTCTACATAGAGTTTTCTTGGGTTACTCTTTTCAAAGGAGGAATATTCTCATCCTCATCCAGAATTTAGGCAGACAGTTTTATCATTATAAATGCCAGGAACAAGAAAGTGCTTTGTTGCAGGTTGATATATAGACCTGACAGGTACTTAGGAAAGTACTGTAATGAGTCATTGGTCTGGATCTGTGTGCCTGGTGAGGGATCCTTTGGTGTTTGGTTTCTGTCTCCCTGCCTGCAAGTGCTGTCTCTGACTCGTCAGTGTGACTTTTCAGAAACAATTAACTGGCACAAATGACAAAGAAATTATGTGAGTTTTGTGGAGAACCGTGGGAGTTTTCTATGAGATTATAAAACCTTTATCCACTATCACATAATTCCTTTAATCCACTGCTTAAGTATTCTAATAAGCTTTTTGAAACACTGCTGCCTCTTGGAGGTTTAGTGAGAACCAAATAATATAAACTCAGGGATCCCTGGGACTGAACAAGCCCTTTCTCACCTCACCTAAGGGCAGCACTAAGGACTCTGCAGAGCACTAGTGGTAAAAGCCACAGGCTGGATTCCTGGGTTCTGCATGTGGAACACTGATGACATTTAGCCTAGTTTGATCTTAACACAGCTGTGCCACCAGTTATGTATTGCTTAAGCTATAAAAATAATAGATTTAAATCAAGCCATCAATCTGTATTGGTGAGTTTCATTCTGTAAAAATGCTAATTTTTTTTAAGACCTTAACTTGGGATTCAAGTTGTCTAGCAGTAAATTCATTAAACCTAATATAGGCTAGTGCAAACGAAGTAACATAATAAACTTGAATTCATTCCTTTCATTCTGAAAAGGTTAAATGAAAAAAAAAGATAAGAAATACTTTGTCAGCTTCTGAAATGGATCCAGTTCTTAAGTGCATTGTAATAACCATTTACCTCTGCACCTGAATGCCATAAACCAGTTGATTATTGCAGCACCAAGGAGTTTCATTGTCCCAATCATTCATTCAAACTTCTGGTCAACCCAGAGTTGTTTGAAAATCGCAGAATAGCTGAGGTTGATGAACACATCTGGTGTCTTGAAAGGTTGCCTAGTCCAAATTCCCCTGCTCAGAGCAGGGTCAGCTAGAGTTCAGGACTGTGTCTCTTGGGTTTTTAGATATCTCCAAGGACTGAGACTACACCACATCCTTGGGCAATGTGCTCCAGTGTTCAATCCCCCTCACTCTTAAAAATAAATAAAAGTTTAAAATGAGTGAGCCCTTGTAGTCTCGCAGCCCTATGAAGATGTGGTCCATATGAGCTGCTACCATTCCATCAGAATTCCAGTGCATGCCTTAGTGGTTTTTATGTCCATCTCATGTGCTAGAAGAGACCCATATATATCAGTTTCTGTGTTAAAGTGAACAGTGCATGATACTCAGTTTTGCCATCACCACTAATTGCTTCCACATGTATATATACAACTGTTGTACAAACATTTAATCTTGTGTCAACAAACATATTTAGATGATCACAGTTTTCTTTTAATGAGTTGGTGGTGGTACTGAATAGTATTAT